TTCAATTTTTTATGTGCTCTGATTTTGTCTCACAAACTTTACAAGCATTCAACATGAACATAAAATGTTTGAGCTGTGGCTCTTTCGACATTAAGCGAGATCCGAAAAAAAATCACTCGCTATTACCTATTATCAATCCTATCTTGAAGTAAATAGTTTGACACTTTTCTAATTTAAAAATGTTTGTAAAAGACCTGTGGTCGAAATAAATATTACATTCTGTCAAGTAAAGTATATATTTGTACAGCATTAGTTTTGGTAATTATCGAGGAAAAAAGGTCAGGTTTTTACATTTTCTACTATTTATAAACATGTTCATCGTACAAGCACTAACCTCATTAAATAGTTTGACACGTTTAATCAATTAGACATGCTGTTTAATCGACATATTATCATTATATGCCGGCCCGATTAGTCATTATGGCCCGATATTAACATTATGCTGGCCCGATTAGTCATCTGATACTACACGCTCGTCTTGACCTAGAAATGCAAAGACAACAGCAACAAATAATAAAAGAAAAGTACGAACCTCCACCATGCGCCTGTCTTCCTCCTCCGTCGTCTTCCGTTTTCTTCCACACTTATCATAGCGCGCTTTCAAACCCCTTTCCCCTTCCTGCTCATAACGGTGTTTCCACCGTCTGGGAGTAGTTAGAGCTACACCGAGAATCTCTGCCGCCTGCTTGACAGAGTGACCTTGATCGAAAAGCAAGATGAGCCTGCCCTTGTCAAGACCACTGAGGTGTTCCATCACGCTCACGTTGACGTCTAGCCGCACACACTCCACGCGGGCTGCGGCCGCATACTGCGGCTCTCCTTCCCCGGCTTTCCGCCCCACTCGGAACAGAAACAGCCAGGTCATGTCATTCCGTGACCCTCATAGGATACTGTGCCGCATCACACTAATCGGTACACTCTCTGACACACCAGGCCTGCCCCGCCGTGGCCCAGCCTCGGTCCCGGTATGAGCGCGGATTCTGCGCTCAATAGTACGTACGCGCGTGTCGGGCGGGACCTGGCGACAAGATATCGCGGTGAGGACCAACCACACGCCCAGCGCCGGGCCGCACATTTACCAAACACAATCCAATTACGGAAAGTGTAAAAAACTGATCGATATATTTTTTCTTAATGTGGTGTGGGTATGAAAGCTGTCGAGCAGCGCCTGCCCCGGATTATTTCCGCGTTGGCGTCGCATGGTATTTCTGACCTACATCGGCACAGCTCGTACCACTTTTGATAAACAAATGGCAACATGGCCAGACAATTATTTCAAAACACAATGGGGATGTTCGGCTTATTTCCTCACCAGGTGGCAGCACTGCCTTCTTTGGACACAGAAACTGTGGCGGCGAATGCGCCACTGTGTTTTGCACTGTGTGGAGTCCGTGCGGTGTCGGTCCGAGTTTGAATTTCGGTGAATTTGATAGCAATTGATTTGAATTTTGCTCAGATGGGTTGTGAATTTATATCCAGCAAGTGTCACAAACATGGAAAGGCAAGTTTACAAAGGACAGGAGACTTAGAAAGGCTTCAATTGACGTAGCCGAAGAGAGGCGAGAAGCCGATGATAGACCGACTCCAAACGGTAATTCCATCGATGTAACACGTTTCCGGACATTTTTTTTTATGGCGAGCATAACTAAGAGTATAAAATAGTCTAGCTTAACTAATAAGTTGGATCATGTATTGCCCATATGAAGTAATTTACCTGTATAAGTTATCATTATGGGCATATCAATATAGGAAATTGACCTGCCCTTTGAGAAAGGCATTAAAAGATGATACATGCTGCTGAGAATGATTATATAGATTCAATGCATTTTTATAAGATTCATTGCAAGCATTTTAGCAGTGTTCTACTTTGTCTGGTACCAACGATATTGCATGAAGATAAAGGTTATGAATATGATGGAAAAAGACAAACAGGATCTATTTTGACACCAGCAACCATGAGGTAAATGTAATAGAACACTAAGCTACCTACTATTTATGAATTGTTACAAGTATTGATCATCCTACATGGTGTTGCAGGTGCCCAGTGCAATCATGCTTCTGGTGCGGAGTTGTCAGGATGGAGTCCGAGGAATCAAGGAAGGCAGAGGACCTGCGTAATGCGTATGAAGGAACCAGCCCTGCGGATGAAGTTCTGGGGTGCATACAGAGGGATCTCACTGAAAGACCAGGTAGGAGTTGGTGAACAGCTCGTGCACTGCAGTATATCATCCAGAAGTAGCTGATAGCCTTTCTTGCAAAATGTTTTTTCACCTTCTAGAATATATGTATAGGTAACTACAATAAAAGTGCATTTCAAAATTGCAAATACTTTGTGTAAAGTTCATGAGTCTTGATGATGTCACTGTATCCAGTTCATCATATCAGATTTCAATTGTGCTTAAACTGCAATGTTTTGCAAATTGCTTCAGTAAATAATGTCCTTTTATCCATGCATGTTAAACATATATATCTCATTATGGCTTGCCAAGATCTTTCCCTACTATCTTATGCCATTTTTCATTTATTCACAGGTGCAATGCTGTATTGATAAGATCCAGATTCAAGAGCATGGATGCTACCAGATCCTGTGATTTGAAGTTACCAGTGTCACTGCTGCTACAAATGACATCAGCAACACTTCCTTTGGTGAAAGTTTAGAGGAGCAAACAGTTGGTGCTCTGTGTAGTCAAGCAGTGGAGTTTTGCCACAATCATGAAGTTGATTAAGAAGCCAGATCAATTTTTGCTCTGGCTTCTGGGACACCTTGGATCTACATTGCAACCTGTGCTAGTGTTCAACATTTTGTGTCATAGTATCACTGATGCAAAGCGTGTTGCATCATACACAAATGAGAGCCAGCAAATTGTCACATATTTTCTAGTGATAGAGAACTGCATGCCTTAAGCAATTGTTGAAGGTGATAAGAGGTGAATGGCAGGGCTCAGCCACTCAGCTCCTTCCTCCAAAAGCTATCAATCAGCTCTAGAAGAGTAGTCATAGCAATGCTTCATATGTGAAGGCTACTTGCCTGAACAGAACATTGTGGATTTGTTAATTAAGTACCTCTTTATTACAAGTTTGTGCCCATTACAAGCCAAGCTTAGTTTACTTAGTTTGTTGCAAGTTTTCCAGGCAGCCTTCACACTTGTGTCGCTGAATATTTAACTTTAACTGATAGACCGACGAGATATTGTCCCTTTCGCATCAGATTGTGATCAGTCAGTCGTGTTGGTAGAAGGTACAGTCTGTCTTAAAAGTACCGCGCAAAGTGACGGTGGATCCATCAAGCCTGACCGAGGAAGGGCTTGCTCTGCTATAATTTGAAAGTCACCGAACCAATTGACCCGGGGAACGGACGAGGATGTCATATAGAGCCACGCAGAAATCGCCGGTGATTCGTTGCCCATCATTACAGAATGAACGCATGCCGGATGAAGAAGTCAATAGTCTGTGCAAACTACAGGGATGTGATTGACTTATCTGACGGTGACGAGCGCTAGAGGTCAACTTAACCCTCGCCGGCACAGGGGGGGGGGTTGATGCAACCCCCCTAAGGTTTTTCGCAAATAACTTGCGTAAAAAGCGGCCGATCGCGACGAAACTTTCAGTACCCTCGCATTTATCAATTTTACACCTACCCTGAAAATTTCATGACACTGACCCCAATGACTTTTGACCTGTGACCTCTTTCCTGTGACCATGTTTGGCCGAAATCGCGGTTCGACGCATGTCGGCTCGCATTAGCCGCGCGTTTGCAAGCTTTTCGTGGTTTCAAACGTTCAAACATGTGATTTGATGTTGCTCCCATGCATTAGGGTGGGTGTCAAGGTCACCTGAAGGTCAGGTCAGGTCATTGACCTTTGGTGACCTCGGGTGACCTCGGTTCACTTTTCCGAGTTTTACATGTTTCTAGGCTAGTTTTTGGAGCTGAATTCGAATTTAGCAACCATTTGAACATTTACGAAGTAGTTTTGGTGCCTTCGTAACATGTTACGAAGCTGTCCGAGGCGGTTGACACGTATTACGAATACCCGTCACAACCCCTACCGGTTGACCTGACCCGACCTGGTCTAAATGCTTAAAGACATCATCTCTGATCAAAACTAACACGATATTCGTGATCAGCACCCCGGAAAACCACATAGCAGCCCCATCTTACGACTTTCTAACAGGTCCCGATTTTCCCGGTTTTCGGGTCATTGACCTGACCTGGAAGGTCACCCGATGACCTAGGACCTTAAAATTGGGTATCATCGGCTTCCTCTCATGACGGGGAACACGCTCGTTTTTTCCGCGAAGCTCTAGCTCGATCAGGGGCCAAACGCGAGGGGGGGATCGTACCCCCCTTGTGCCGTCGAAGGACTCAAAATGGCCTGTGCCGGCGAGGGTTAAGACGGTAGGTATGCGTTCTTGTCATGGAATGTGTGCTGTAAATCGATTGTTTCATGCGTGTGAATATATGTCTGAATGTAATAAGGTTTTTAATTTCAACTGTGTAAGTTAAAATATGTGATAACATCGTATCTTTCGTACTCCGTAGCTTTTGGTGACCATTCGATCAGCTCCCTTTCCTTCCGCTCAATGACGATGTAGTAGTATGCCTTTCACACGCTTCATTGTCTTCCTAGTATCTAAATCAACTGTAGCTACTCATTTTAGCAACATGATGAACCTGAAAAAGACATGAAACGCAGTTTCCGTTCGCGGCTCGTCGGCCGCCGTCGCCGCCCGCAGTGTTATCCCTGGCCCGGCCGGCGCGTTGTGTCCAAAGCATACCGTGCTGCCACCTGGCGAGACCTTTCGGAACTCTTAGCGCGAACATCCCCATTGGTGTGCTTCGCGTGGGCTGAGAGCAAAAGCAATGTTTCGTGTCCACCAAACTAAAAAACAGCCCCAAGCTGCAGTAATTTAGCTGAGCGGATACCATGAGTGACGGAGTACAGCCGGCATCCACCGCCCGTCTCCGGCTACAGGGGGGTAGTGGGGGAGGCCGCACTCACCAGCGAAGTAGTGTTCGCTGTCGAGCAGCTGGCGCGCCAGCTCGTCGCCGCCGTAGCCCGGCGCCGAGCCGCCCAGCTCCGCCGGCAGCGAGTCGCGCGGAAAGTGCGCGTGCAGCGACTTCAGGTTACTGCCGTGAAAGTACAGCTGTCGACGCAGAGACACCGCGCAGTGTCAGCGGTGACCCGTGGTTTACACGGTGGGACACAGAGTTACCACGAACAGCAGAGACACAGCGCGAACGGCTCGGGGAGACAAGAAAACATTCTTTTAGAAATAGTCATAAGTCAACAGCTGATTGAAAAGCAAATAAACAATCGATTGGAAGAAAAAAAGGTATGGTATCATCGCGCTCGTGCAGCGGTGCGCCATATCCGTATTGAGCCAGTTACATCCAATAAAATAATCACCAGCGAGCGAACAAGAAATCTGCACTGTGATCAAGTGGAAAATGTCCTCCTAATGCAGTTAGAGCTTTAAACATACGCCCTGCGGTACCACTGAATGCAAGAGCGGGACGCACCAGCGCGGTCTTGCATCCCAATCAAAGGGAGCACGCGTTTCGCAACAGTCGGCACAGTGAAGGGTGAATAAACCAGCGGGCAAGCAGCTCCAAGAGAGCTGCCGTCACTCTTCAGAGCACCGACCTGCCCGATCGTATCGGAAAACGGACGGGCCGCATTCAATGTGGGCTAGCGGTACGTCCGTATCTTATCATCTAACCAATATGCATCCCTTCCACGAAAGCATTAATGCTGTTGCCAACGCCAAATCACACAGAGCAAAAGGGCTTTGGTAATAAACACGTTAATGGTGTCACATTACATTATAATCCCAGGGTTAAAACGACAGAAGAGCATGAGCAACTGCCAAAACAAATAAGCCCCGCGATAAAAATACGAGAAGAAAGTACAGATGTCATACAGACAAAAAATAAGTAAAAAGAGGAAGAGTTGTATGTAGACGTCGATTCACAACTTGCCATGTCCCGATACAATCTGACCAAGGGGTGGGTGGGACGAGGACGACATTGAAGGTACTGAGGTGGTAATACAGCCGTACCATCTTATCCATTGAACCATGACAGGGTACGCGGCGCCGTAAACACTTACCCGGTCGGCCAGCTTTTTGCTCAGGAAGGGCTTCACAGCTGCAAAGGCCCAGTAGAACACCCTCGGCTCAAATACAAAGTGAAAGCCCTTGAACCGAAGCGGAAAGCTTCCCTGCAAAAGGAGGAACCGCCGTCAAAATACAGAAAGAGGTAGCTGACACTATGTAGTAATCGTACCAACATGCCATAACACCATCATAAGGGTCAAAGTCTGATGTGTAATGTTCCCCAAAGGACCACTTATCTATCGAAATCTCTGTAAAAAGCTAGACTTCCTGAATGGCTAAGTGAAATGTAGGAGACAGGAGTGGTTTCCCGAAGGAAATGATGCGCAGAACTACATTACCAGCAAAGAAGACCATATGGATTTTGGAATACTTTGAGTCATCATTTATCAAAACAGCTGGCTGCTATGTCACAAAATACGTAACATCGGCAGAGGGAAGAGCTGCCACAATAGACGTGACTGTGAGGAATCTTAATTCCAAGCCAGCCAATTAGTAGTTACAATTTTGACTAGCAAACTTTCACACTTTTTTTGGGTGGGGGAATGGTTCCTATTCCGAATATTTAGTAGCGAGTCCGTCAACGTTGACATTAGGGTAGAGCCGAGTTCTTTCATCTCAGTCACATTCCGGGCTCTGTCGCCACTGTATTCATTCACTCCTTCATGCATGTGTGTCCGGTGAGCGACGGACCGCCTCTGCCCCTAATACAAGGCCACCATCCTCAGCAGCCGGCTCGGCAGTCACACGATACCGGGGGTGCTGGGTTTGACTGCCGAGGGTGCTGGGACAGGCTACCGAGGGTGCTGGGACATTGGTCAGGCTGCTGTGGGTGCCGGGACAGGCTGCCGAGGGTGCTGGGACAGGCTGCCGGGGGTGCTGGGACATTGGTCAGACTGCCGGGGGTGCTGGGCCTGGGGCAGGCTGCTGTGGGTGCTGGGACAGACTGCCGGGGGTGCTTGGACAGGCTACTTTGGGTGCTGGCCGCTGGGGCAGGCTGCCGAGGGTGCTGGGACAATGGACAGGCTGTCGAGGGTGCTTGAGCAAACTGCCGAGGGTGCTGGGACAGACTGCCGGGGGCGCTTGGACACTGGACAGACTACCGAGTACCGAGGGTGCTGGGACCGGCTGCCGAGGGTGCTGGGACAATGGACCGGCTGCCGAGGGTGCTGGGACAATGGACCGGCTGCCGAGGGTGCTGGGACAATGGACCGGCTGCCGCCACCACCAGCCCGTCCAGACGTGTGAGGAATGTAACGGACTATATCAGCTATTTTGGTACCTTTCATATTTCCACGGGCCCGTCATATTTCTGGGATGCCAGCTGAATGCCGATTCCATCGGCTTTCCATTAAACAAGCAAACCGTGAGAATAACAGAGAGCAGCAATCGTGGGAGTTTGAAAATGGTCCTGCCGGCGGATAGCTCAGCGACAATATCAGTGTTACTCGATGAAATCTCACGTCGGTAAACGGAAACGATGGTTGCTATATGTTGATTAACATCAGATTTCGTCCTTTCACGAGCAATGTAGAAAGTCCTCTGTCTGCATAAAAACGGCCGGAGCACCACCAACATCCCAGTAAATCTCGGGGCGGTGCCCGGTGGGCACACACCAATGCATCACGGCGGCCCACTGGTGACCCCGTTATCACGCCGCGGCACGATGCAGCAAACAGCAGCGGCCGCCGGCCAGCAGATCCATCCCCGCGGCGGAGAGGTGCCGCACTACACACGTCCCCGGAGAGAAAACGGCCGCCGCCCCGGGTGGTTTATCGCCCGCGCGTGCGCTGCCTTACGCTGGTAGTGAATGGGCAAGATGTGGCCGCTTAGTTACAGAAGATGTGTAGCTGAAAATGGTAGGGTAAACACATTCCAGACAGGAAAGTGTTAAATGTGTCCAGTTAACGATTTATGTGACTCGGACGTTTAGCGGCTCTATCTTCATCCGGGATCAAATTGAGAAACCTTACGACCGATCGCCATGATATCGGAGTTCATAGCGTGCGCACGCAACTGAGGCAGTGGGCACAGCGATACACGTCTTATCGTGCTCGGCTGGACCTGCCAGGGTGTGTCTACGCATGCGAGGACACTTGTGCGTCATTATTCGTGTGACCGAGTTTCCCTCGATACCCTTCGTACTGGATATCATCTCGAGACATCGGATGCACTCTTCGGACCAGAAGTAACACCGTTTGCAACTAGGTGGCGCCGTCCAAATACTATCTCATTAGTAACAACTCTAGGGGCCTCTAGGCCCCGAACTTCTACATATGTTAACTGTCAACTAAAATCCTTGAGCCGTAGTGTCATAACCCTCGCCGGCCGAGGGAGGGGGGGGGGGCGGGTGCCGCCCCCCCCCCCCATAGGGTTTTTTCGCGATAGCTCCGAACACGCTGGCGATAGAGAGCTGAAACTTGGCATACCTGACCTTTGATCCAAGCCGGATCTTTTGACACCAACCGCATTTTTGGGTCAGGTCAGGTCACTGACATATGACGTCATAAGTGAACCTCTGCACTGTCTTCAGATGTCGCAACTTCGCAACGCCCTCACTGCCAGAGGAGATGTCACAGGGAAATGAAACTTGCAGGATCTAGTATCCATTATGAGTCCCACAACTTGTATATCTCGGATTTTTCCTAAAGGTCATATGAGGTCAGGTCATTTTCGTGACCTCACCATTATAAGTCAATGGGGAAAAATGAAAACTGCTATTCTGGCGCCGGGAACGATCTCCAACTATCTCAAGCACACAGAATCGTGATTTGATGCACTCCTTGCAAGGTTAGATGCGTCACTTTTGCAATGTTGACCTTCCGTGACGTCATTTATGACGTCATCAAGGTCATATTAGTTTTTCGTCAATAACTCTTGATCAAATTGAGCTAGCGAGTCGGGAAAGCCACCAATGGACTCAGGAAGGCCTGCCGAATCGAATGATATGCGACATGACCTCTTTCGACCAGCTTCGTGACCTGGGGGTGCTGACCTGACCTTGACCTGAGGTCAACACCCCAAGTTGACCTGACCCGGACAAAAAGTATATCATTCGACGCGCCTGTGCGAGGCGAACACGATGCTGCCAAAATCGGCGCTCTGCGGCCGTTTTGTGCGAAGTTATTCACCAAAAACTGAACCGTACCTTGGGGCACTTGACCTGACCTCAGAGGTCACCGGTTGACCTAGGACCTTAAAATCGGGTACCAATCTCTGCGTCTCGTAACGGCGGACACGCTCGTTTTTTCCGCGACGCGCTAGCTCCACCAGGGGCGAAACGGCGGGGGGGGGGGTCGTACCCGCCCCCCCCCCTCGGCCGGCGCGTAATGTAGAAAACCAATAGGTCCGGCGAGGGATAAATAACACTAGTATTAGTTATAACATTATAATTCAGCCATGAATCAGTGATACCCAACACAAGCGTAGGGGAGAGTGGGGAAAGATGCCCAGGGTTTGACTATGTCATATATTATTCGAAAATGACGATCGGGAAGCCAAAACTTGAAGTTTCAACGGAAGCCGACATCATTTTTCTCCAAAAATATCACACTTTCGTGCCTGAAATATGATAACTTTTTTTGCTATTAAGCATTTTCCTGAAGAAGTGAAAGGGGGCATCTTACCCCACAGGGTGGAAAAGACGCCCCCTGGCGCTGGGTGAGATGTCCCCTGCATTATAAGTGACATAAATAGGCACGTGAATCGCCTGAACGAATCAGTAGTCCCTTCGAGCCTGTAGTAGACACCAAACGTTATCGTAAGGGCCCTCAAAAGTAGTCATAAGGGGCTTCAGAGGTCATCGTTAGGGCCATCATAGTCCAGCGTGGCCAAACAAGCCTCCGTGGTGGCGTTCGGAGACCACTGTGGGGCCCTTATAGGTCTTCATGATGCTTGAGGGCCCTCGAGCCCATCGTGGGGACCTCAGATGCCAGCGCGGCCCGTGGAGCCAACGTGGGAGCCCTCAAAGGATGTCGTGAGGGGCCCTGGAACCAATAATGGGGCCCACAGAGGCCGTCGTGAGGGCTCTCAGAGTCAGATGCCTCCCAAAAAGTCGCTGTGTGGGCCGAGAGACCGGCATGGGGAGCACCCGACCGTACCGGACTCTCAATAGTCCCAGATCGGCTTTTGTCTCTCATCGCAAGTATGTAATAAATGATTTGACGGGCTGCTTGAAGAACAGCCTACGGATTTAGGGGGCGTCTTTCCCCATCAGGACAGGGGGCATCTTACCCCAAGGTACCGAAGTAACATTAAATCAGCACAATTTGTTAGCCATAAAACTACACCCTGAAGCAAACTGTTTGGGACACAGTACACGCATGTTAATGTATCACGACTATAGTAAGGGACGCAAAAATGATCTACCTTCTTTGATATTTACAATGTTTTGACGCCAAAATATTTTTTGAAAGCAGCAAATAAAAAACATGCAATCACCAGCCAGCCGTTGCCCAACTAAGCTTCGCAAATTTTTGTGCAGTTAACAAGGCAGGCTTCCGCTTTACGCTAAGATTATTAATTTCCAGGTTCGATTCTTTGTTTCCCCGCTAGAGGGGGTGGGGTGTCTTTCCCACCCTGGGCATCTTACCCCACTCTCCCCTACGTACATTTACGACCCAACACTCAACAGCTAATATCCACGTGCTGCGCGTTTCTTTTAAGAAATCGGAACCTGTCTTCTGCCTAGCCGACTATGCAATTTGGCCCCCATCGTCTTGTTCCACCCTTCGTCTTTCTTAACCCGCGCCCTGCTGGGGGGGGGGTGTTTGAACACCCCCCCCCTGTGGTTTTTCGCGAATATCTCAAAAACGGCGGCGCGGAGCGCCGCCGTTTTTGGTACACCTTATCATACATCAATTCTACACATGTTGTGAAAATTTCAGACCAAGGTCATTCAAGGTCAGGTCACCAGGTCACTCGAAGTGACCTCACCTCATAAAAAGTTTCAATGTCTGTCATAGCTACACCGAGTGACCGATCGCTTTGAAACTTTCAGCGATTGCTAAGAGCATTAGCATGTACAAAATGTATATCTCAGAATTTTGATATCGATGACCTAAGGTCAGGTCAATTTTGCGACCTCACCATTATAAGTCAATGGGAG